GTGCCGGGCGGGGGGCAGCGGGGTGGGGGGCGGCGGTGGTCGTCCTCCTCCACACACAGCCGCGGCCGTGTGGTGGAGCGTGTTGGCGCAGGCGGAGGAAGGCGTCGGAGATCCCTTCCCCAGAGCCTTAGGGCAGATCCTGACATAAAAGCCATCAGTTTATGTGTAAACGCCAAATCGTACCACGTAAAATGCTGCCGAGCTGGCGGCGCCTCCTCTGCTGCCACCGCTGTCACGTTTCTCACATCGATGGTAGTTTGACCCTGTGGTAAATGAGAGAAAAACACAGGTTTCCATGTGTTCATCCCAACTGTTGGGCGTGGTAAGGTTTAAAACCAGAAGGAGCAAGGGCAAGGGGGGGTCTGGGAGCGGCGGCAGCAGCCCGTGCCCTCCTTACCTTGGTCTCTCCCGCAGGCGCGGTGGCCCGGTGGCGGGAGGAAGGCCGCGTCGCCGTCTGGCTGCGCGTCCCCATCCTCCAGAGCAGGTTTGTGGCGGCGGCCGCTTCGCAAGGCTTTGCTTTCCACCACGCCGAGCAGGGCTCGTCCACCCTGACGCTGTGGCTAGGAGAAGGGCCCAGCAGGCTACCAGGGTACGCCACCCACCAGCTGGGAGTCGCAGGTTAGTTACAGCAGCGGTTGTGCCCACGCAGAGCCTGTGGAACGAGGCCCTTATGCCTGGGTTCAGTAGGAGAGCGACTGTTACGCTGCACACCCAGCGCATGGAAACCAGGTGCTTACTGTTGGGGTAACTTTTAACAGTGAAGCATGTCATTCGTGAGTGCACCTGTACAACTGAGCGTGTTGCTAAAAACAGGGCAATAAAGAGAAGTTTCTCAAAGTTACTCCAGTTTGAGAAAATTGTAAACACCTCGGAGAAGAAAAAGTGGTCACAAAGCTTTAAAATTTTAACTCATATTGTTTTTAAACACCATTTTGAGAAACAGAGCTTGGCTTTCACTTTGCAGGTGTGAGAGAGAAGCTTTCAAGGTTCAAGCAGTTTTTTTAGAAGTAAAAAAGTAACTAATTAGAAAAAAAAACACTTCTCCCTCTCCTTAGTGTAGATTATTAATATATGTATCTGCCTAAACTATGCTCAAGGTAAGGTCTCTGAATGGGGCAAACCTGACCCAGCAGGGATTGTTCAGGAGCTAGCACAACTGTTAGCCTAAATTACAATGGTCTAAAAACTGCTCTAAGCTGTGCCTAGAAATCCACAACACAAGTAGTATTTTACAAACAAACATCTGGACACCATACTCTTACCCCTCTACACCTCCCACAACCACAGTTGGAAGGGAGTTGCTCTAAAACCGGAGGAAATTCCCAAGGAAATAGATAAAACAGTTTCCCTTTTTTTTTTTTTTTAAATCTAATGCAGTACACCAAACTAATGATGAGCCATAAATACAGTCAACTTGAATTCAGCTTCACCAAATTTGACTGATTTTGCCCTCTCAGCAGCATTCCACAGGTATGCAATTACCTGTCCCATCACTCAGTAATCTCCTGTGGAGGTTGGTTTGGACCCTTCTCGTACTGGTAAAGGCTATGTGATACTCAGCAGTTACAAGGAGAGCAAATCTCTCCCAGTACAAGCTTGACTTGTTTGTCCTTGGTTTGGAGGGACTGTGTGGGACATTAATTCTTCACCAAGTGCTGCTAAAACACATAAACAAAAATTTGAAAAAATGTAATTAGGAAGGCCTCATAAAAGCGTGTCAGGTGAAAGTAAGTTTTGGAAAAACAAAGCCTTCAATTACAAAACAGTGCTACTACTATCGGTAGTGGGAGTTTTCAGTTACAAAGCCAGCAGAGGGCAGAGTAGAAGCTGAAGGCAGGCTTGGATTTTTTCAATGGACATGTTAGAGCATGTTTTCCTGAGGTATGAAAAACCTCACCATTAAAATATGTGGCATTAAACTCGAGTAAGATAATGCATTCTCCTAGCAAAAGCACCGTGTTACTCCTTATGGTTATAACTTACATGTTTGAGGAAACATGACGAACTGAAAGGGGATTTTTCTGAAGTAGGTTTTGCACAGCTGGAAGTGCTAAAAGAAAATCATGTAGTAGATGTGTTGTGACCCAATAGTTATCAGAAAGGACTTAATATAAGAAAAAGCATAACTCTGAAAAACTCTCAAATAAACTTGAAAATATGAAAAATGCACTTTTAGAGCATGAGTGTAAATTGCTGTTGTACTTTGAGAGAAACACTTTGCACGTGGCCAGTAGGAAAAACCTTTGAGGAAAGAAATCACTTAATAATGCAGGTATATGGATTTCATCATTTATCACACAAATTTAAAAATTGTGAACATATAGTGTATATATTTTTTCCTACCACTTTTCAAACATGTACATTCTTATTCATTACTGGGAGCTTCTTTAAAAGGGGTGAAGGCTTAAGGAAAGTATTTGGGCAGATAAGCAGATTTCTGTGTGTGAAATAATGACTGCAAATTTTTCTTAGTGGATCTGGAACACGTTCCAAGAATATGCAGTGTGGATACTGCTTGGCATCTATTTATTCCATTATCTTTCTACTTCAGGGGAAGCCTGGATAGTGGAAGTGCTTAATTCTATTTGTAATTAATTTTACTGAAATACTGAATTGTTTAAATATGTGCATTTATAGTTTGTGTCTGTGCGCCAAACCCTAGGCATTTTTATTTCCTGAACAAAAGAAATATTTTAAAAAGTTTCTGCAGTAAAGAAATGCAAATTTATTGATGAGAGTCTTCATCTCATAGCTGTGGCCAATCAGTTAAATACAGGACTTAGTCCCTTAAGCATCCTGCAAATACAAAGCTGAGACATTGAGCCTGGTTTGCCTGCCTGCAGGAAGCCAGCACAGGCAGCAGAGGACAGGTAGTGACCCTGCATTGCCAAGTAGACCAGCAGCTGGATTTTGTCCTGTCTGGAGTTTCCCACACAGCGAACAGGGCGCAGCCAGGGCCAGCTCCTTGGCATCATCCAGCCAAGTGATGACAAAGGTGTGAATAAGCAAGGTCAAGTCGTATTTTGCCAGACAAGATCAGAGTCGCCAAGCAGAGAGTAGCAAATGTTACTCATTGGGTTTGGCCATTATTGTTTAGAAATAGTGGAATATGTGATGTGTCTTCCAACTAACTCTGTTGCAGCCGTTTGTAGGCGGCAGGATTTTCCAAATATGTAAAGGTACATAAAAGCTTCTGGTGTATGAAATGATTAAGATGTTTTTGAAAAGCTTTTCCAAAATTCTCCACCTCCTAGGAGGAAGTGGTCTGTCATCCAGAAAGTGACGTGTTTGTAAATATGCCGCATAACAGTGGCATAGGATGACAAGTTGAGGAAGGAAAGTAAAAGGAAGAAAAGTAAACGTCATTCACTTCTCCCTCCTGTGTAGTGTAAGCCTTACAACACAGCTGTTATTTTCATTGCTACATATCTTAATTTAGTTGTTGAAACAAGTCACTGGAGTAGAAGAGGGACAAGGGTCTACACACACACACACAAAATCATCAGCCTTGGCCAGTCCTATGACTTGAGGAAGTGTGTAAAATGAGCAGCTGCATAAATGTCTGACTACACAGGCAGATGCAGTTAGGTTATGATGGTCCATAGAATCAAAAGTGATTTAAAAGCAGTTCCCAAGTTGCTTTACAAAGTAATATAGCTATTCCTGTCTGCTGCTGTTTGCAATGCAAGTAGTCATGTGTGCCCTCATTACGTGGATGACAAGTGCTTTTCAGTGCTGAAGATCTTTTCATACCTGTTTACATCAAAACAGGTAGAATGAAGATATTTTTCCCCTCCATTACTCATTGTCTAGTGTCATCTAAGGGATTTATTTTTTTAAAAAATTATTTTCTTACCTATTTCCCAAAAGAGAGCATTCAAAACAAAGCTGTGTTGCAATAGTGATTATTTGGTTAGGTTACAAGTATAAACCTTTCCAGAAAGTCATCCTGGTGTTGGGTGGTTCAAAGCTCCAGGTACCACATTTGTAGCAAGAGGGAGCATTTTTAAAACCACAGTTCAGAGCCTGCAGCCAAGCTCTGATCTCACAGATACTAAGCAGGTGCGGCCCAACAAGATTCAGCAGGACTCCCGAGTTACACTTGGGAAAATGAGACCAAACAGCAAATCCTGTTACTTTTCTTCTTCCTTTCTGCTTGTTTTGGATTTAGGTATCATCTAGCAGAGATTCTGGACATCTCACAGAGAATTTCACTGTCAAAAATTACATTCACAGGCATCGATTTCTGGGGACAGAGGAGAGAAAATGTTTAACCTCTTTGATTCAAACTACAGTTTCCTGTCTTCAGCAAACCATTTGGCTGAAGAATGGCTTTTCTAGAAAATAATCCCTGTAATCACAGCATGCATCAAAGTTGCTCCTGCTTTCCTTTTTTTCCCTCTTTTAAACAGTACAGTACTTGAACCTGGTCACTGCTGTATATTTATAGGAGGAATGAAATCATAAAATCACAAGCCACGGGGAGGCAGATATGTGACTACACTCTTAAAGCATGTCCTTTGACATATCTCGAAGGAAGACTGGTATTTCAGCTTTTAAATATTCCTCCTACACATAAGGCTGCCATGTATTATTATTAAAAAACAGAGGCCATTTGGAGCTGGACACTCATTCCTTAATAATTCCCTTCTGTGGAAATACTTCCCCATAGCATTTTAAATGCATATATCATCACAGATCTGTCCACATACTTTTCCTCCTGCTATAAAATGATATAAGCATTTTTTTTATTGTTAACTACTAACTTGAAACCCATGCATGACTGATGTGGAAAAGAGCCTGGTAAGCTGCACCATAGTACTCATTCTGCTCACCACAGCGTACTTTAAAATCTCAGAAAAATACCTGTTTTAAAGAGAAGACATTTTTAAAGTATGACCAATGAGTGTGACATGATGATTAAACATGAAAGCATTTGGGCTTTAAAAAGTAGGAAAACTTGTAATCTGCGGGAGAAAGTCATGGGCTGAGCATGAGGGCACAAGGAAAAGCTGAACTTTTCAGTTGTACATTCTGATTTTACTTTTTTTTAATCAAGTGACAGTGTCACTTTTCCACTTGGAAGCAATGCTTTTTGATTAATGAGTTAACTCAGATACTGGGCAGTTCCTGTCATGAGTTCTTAGCTGGGTAGTACAGTATGAGTTCATAGATAGTCAAGTAGTTGAACATTATCAGTACAGTCAGCCCATTGAGTACTAAATCTTGTGCATTATTAACGAGAAAATACTCATATCTTCACTACAGCAGGCAGGAGTTTTGTTCTGAATTTCACTGGATGAGAGTTGTTGCCCATCATGGCTACTTGGCCAGAGTCGCTGGAAAAGTTTGTTATTTGAGCAAGATTACAGGCACATGTCTGCTGAACCAAGCAGCTTTCCTTCATTATTTGGATGGTGTCTTATTCTTGAATTCTTTAGTTCTGATATTAACACAAGCAAATTATTATTTTCATTTTATGTCTAATCTGAAACTTAAATATGGGAAGTATTTATCTTGGTACAACTAACTTTTTTATACAGGATAGTTAACTTTTGTCATACTTATTGTGTATCAGTTTTCCACTGACAAACCACTTTCTGTGATTCATCCATACAAATCTTGCTAACTGTAAACTGAGTATAATCAGAGTTTTGTCATGCTGTATCAGAACATGTTAATTTATGGTTATGTTTGAACATAGTTGTCTAACAGTCGTTTTCAATATTACCTCTCTACTAGGTGCTGTTCTAGATGAAAGCACTGGAAAGGTGTTGGTCGTACAAGACAGAAATAGGGTAAGTTTGTTTCAGGATTATAAAATAAAGAAGTTCGTTTAGATAAGCCTACTCTGTAGTATAAAAAATATTTTATTTTTATTCGTGCAAAATTGTGAAAGTTAAAAGTTACTTTCTTTTTCGAGTGTCTTGGAACATATCTATCAACAGATTGCTGTACTGCATTTGAAGAAAAAAAAACCAACAAAACTTTGAAAATCAAAATTGTTGTTGATTATAACTGGTGATTAAATCAGCAGAACTAAATATCCTTTCTGGTTTGAGTTTTCTGTTTTCTCAAGAGTCCCTGATCCTGTGTTGGGATCCATGCAGACGTCTGGAAAGCCCCAGTGGCTCAAAGCAGATTTTGGAAGAAGGATTCTGATTTTGTTTGGTTTTGAAAATTCCAGGCATATCTGTGGCTTTAAATAAGCAATAATGTGGTTGGCCATGACCTGGAGACCACCTTAGTACAGCAGGTGTAAAAATCACTAATTTCTCACAAACTGCTTGACCCCACTACTGAGAATGCCAAACCAGAGAGTCTTAGTGTGGTGCTGGTGTGTCCTGTGATGTGGCCTGAGGTAACCAAGTGTCCGTCACTGGTCACGTCTTCCAGCCTTCATCAGGCTAACCTAGATTTTAATACAGCACATGCAGGAAGTTCACTGGCTCATTAGCCTGTGCTATTCCATTTAATATACTTAGCTTCCATTAGGCTTTCATTTGCAAATCAAAGTGTCTCTAGTACAATGAGATGATCTGCAATTTTAACATTTTACACGCATAGACTGAAGTATACTTGGATGCATCATTTTCATGCTATATAGTTAAAACTATGACAGAATCTCAGAGACATTTTTCTGTCTTTCCTGAAATAGCTACTAAGAGATTTCTTCTTGGGACCCAAAACATCAACTCATTGATAACACCACCAGAGTTAATGAACTTCAATGAACAACTTTCATAGGCAGGTTCAATCATAAAACACATAGAATTTGCAACACAAGAGTTCAGAGGAAGAGAAACACCATTTTCTTTTTTTCCTCTAAACTATTAATTTTATACTTACCATAAAGTAAAATTTGAAGGACTTCTCTATAGCAGGACCTTCAAGCTTACACTCAGTAACTACCAGTTAAAGCATAAATCCAGCATACAAGCTATAGGCTCTGAAAGCGGTTCTAGTTCTAAAGTCTCCAGGAACAGAACAGTACATCATAAACTTTAGAAATGCTACCTTGATTTTGCCTTTTATGCACACAGAAATAATAAAACTGCATGCTTACCTTTTGGTACAGATCTTAAACAGGTCTCTCATTAAAAATGGAAATTGCACATTCTACAGATTTAGAAGGAAATAGTAGTTTCCTAAGCCCAGGAGGCTTAGGTTTTAACTTCTTCACACTGTGGTTTTGTTAAAGCTCACCCACAGCCATTTGAAGTGCAGATGTCTCTATTGAGTTTTACAGTGAGACATCAGATGCTCTATTCAGGTTCTAGGTCCAAATCCATACTTAGCAGGCATTATTACCTCCTTAGCCTCTGGCCCCAAAACACAGGGGGATCACTCTGGCACCACTCTTGCCTCCAGCTCATTCTGGAAAGTAGGATGGGGATATTCCAGGTCAGCTATGTCATCTTACCTTTCCAGAACAAAGCTGACAGCGCAGGGAGGGAGGGAGGCAAAAGCAGAAAAGTAATTGTTTCCAACTTCCCCTTTACACCACTCGCTTACTAACTGAATAAAATTAAGGATAAAACCTGGTGTGAATGAATGCCCATACATTTCTTGTGCAGTGACCAAATAAAGTATCTCAGTGCAAGCAAACTGGCTCAGACAGTTGCTTGCAACTGTCAGTTCCAACACTCCCCTCCTTTCTCCTTCCCCCATAATGAACCAATTTCCCTGAAATGGTGACTTTTAATATAAATGGTGTTCTGAAAGCTTAAAAAAAAAAAAATTCAACACCTAGTGGAATTTTAAGAGTTGTTTGGGTTTAATCGTGAAAGGACAATTCCATAGCACACAAGGAAAGATTTCCAAGAACTGAAAGCAAATCTGAAAGCCAATAGACAAGTACGTATATTTTCCATCTGCTCTATTTTTAATGTCACTTTACACTCCTATCCAAGCCCTTTAATAGTGCCCAGAAAAAAACATTTTCCATTGTAGTTGGTGGGGTTTCAAATCACTGGAAAGCACACAACTTGCCTCTGTGCTGCATGTAAAAGAAAAGCTACCTTTTTTTTTTTTTTGTCAGCGTACCTTTTTACGGCATTAATTTCTAGTTGAAGGTTAACTTCTTACTACATAAACTTTTAATAAGAAATGAATAATACACAAATGTAAAGCCTACAAATCTTTGTGCATTTGCAAGAGATGTAGGAACTGGGACTCCTTTACCAGTATCAATAACTGCACCAAATCTGCACTTCACATTCTGTTTTAAGTACTGAACTTTATTGCAATTCAATAAATGCTTCTATATATAAATCACACACAAGGCCTCAATTTTTGTATTCCATGAAAACAAACAAGTTACACTAAATGGTTATTACAGACACACAAAGACATCTTAAAGCCAGTGCAGTATAGAACGGTACTACAATCATAATACCTGTTTGTAAGGTTAAATATATATACATTTTTTTAAAAGCCAAAACCATGAAAGTGGAATACATTAGTGATTAAATATAGGAATATATAGTCTATAGCAGCTTTTTTTAATATTCAACTACTGTATCTATTTATCTAGCAGCAACATTGTCTAATGACTGTTAGACAGTTTGTATTTTCAATCAGTAGATGTTTCGTTCCAATATTTCATACAGACTGATGATCACATTAGCAAGAACAAAGAAGTTCCTACTGAAAGTCTTACTAATGTTTGTAAGATTAATTACAATACTGCAACTTCAACAAAAAAAAATCACGTGTTCATTTTCTCCTTCATATCAGAGTGTACAACACAGGCTGCATACTTCATTAATATTTTTTCCTCCAATACAGACTATAAATGCGTGGAAATTTCCAGGAGGTCTGTCTAATCCAGGCGAAGACATTGGTAAGTCAGAGGATAACAGGTCAGACATCAACAGAATTATAAAGACATTTAGAGTACTGCAATACATTGTGACCCACAACGCTCCTATTGCTTCTTTGAATTAATGTGAATAGATGATGTGACATGATCCTATGACCTTAATGTTAACAGGGTAACATATGTTCAGGGCAGAGAAGTTTTGTATTTGTAATATTTATCCTTTTCCACAATTTCCCTTAAGTGAGTGCTTGAAGCCAATTTACTTTTTGTGGGCTTGTTGGATATGCTGTAATATGAGCCAAAATGCAGCGGATTAAGGTAATCAGTATGTAACCCAAATAAAACTGAAAGCATGAGCTCTCAGCTCACACTAGAATCCAGAGCAGTGAGCTCAATGATGTACTGAGCAAAAATTTCCAACTCTCCATTTTTATGTGCAAAATAGAAATAAATATAGTTGCTTCCTTCCACCCTTGTTTGATTTGATTTGTTTAGACTAAGAGCTCTTTGGCAGAGGAGCAGCATTAAGTGCAGTGCCTCAGTCTTGTGGGCACCTACTTTCAACCAGAGAGATAAGGCACTTCTGTATTAAAACCAGTGCTGATTTAAAGAAACCTATCAGTTTTACCCAGCGTAGCATAGGCAACGAACAACACTGCTGGAGTTATGTTCAGAGGTGAACGAACAAGGGTGTTTGTGAAAAGACAGAAAATCGTGCTTTTTCTCCTTGTATCTTACCCCTTAAAACTACGATCCATAGACTGCTTAATTGTTAAGTTATACTGCAGTTATTAGGTAGATCCTGTTTTCAAAGGTTGCATTTGCTCACATTAATTTAGCCCCACATCAGTATTCAAATATATTCTTCCACAAACTCAAAAATGTTGCCCAGAGCAGCGCAGCAGCTCTGGCAAACTGGGTATCAAGCCCAGGTTTCCTGACAAGTTCATACCTTATACGGATCTACTATCTTAGCTGTCTTCCTACAACAGTGTGTGGAGGGCTTGTATTCCCACTCATTATTTCAATACATGCAGAAAGTTTTTAGTTAGTGGATATGGCTGAGGTGTAGTCTTCTTAACTCTTGAGTCACATTAAGTCTTTTTGTCAAACGTGGCGATAGAAATTAAAACTACTTGCTTGGCAATGCAAATAACATGTGACGTAGTGAAATGGATTCATGTTTTCAGAAGAATCCCAACCACCGTGTCTGCTTAGCCTGGTTCCTTTTCACTTCTAGTGACAGAGCACGGGTCTAGGCCAGGAGATATCAGAGGGATTTTTGTACTTAGGGAAAAGAATGACCAGCACTGGCATCAGCTTCCCCAGAGGAGTGCTGATACTGAGTAGGCCAGTGGCATCCCTCAAATAAGAGGTGAGATTACAGCTGGAGCCTGGATGTAGGTATTGAGAAACACCTGGGAGGAAACAAGTCTCTTACAGCTCCCCTCCTGCCATGACTAAACTGTGTAATAATAAAAGTTACGATTCTCTGCATCACATCTTAACATTACAAAAAGATATAAATTAGTGAAGCATAAAATATAATAAGCTTAATTTTCCTTTTTTTATCCTTACATCAAACCTTATAAACTCACAGTCATTCAAGGGAATAAATTTCAAATTACAGTTACAAATTGCAATTACAATGCTTGAAGATCCTGTGATTATATATGTCAGTGACAAAATATATGGCTGCCTACTTTAACAAGTACAAACCGACTCGTGCAAGTAATCTGAATAGTTTCAGAATGCAGATTAAGCAAAGTGCACACATTGGTATTTGAATATTTCTGAAACTCAAGCCCTAGTGTTTCTTCTAGTTTATCATATATTTTATATATATATATACACAAATTAAAGGGAAACAGAAAAAGGCACATCTAAAAGCAAAGCTCAAAGCTTAAATGAAATCCCTAGTACTTCATTTCTCTTAACCATAGCCTACCTTAGCATTCTTCATCACCTCACTTCTTTGACCACTTTTGTGTAATACAGCCCCCTGCTGAATAATAAAACCACTTGCCACAGGGAGTTTGCTTCACAACCACTATTTTAAACCAGAGGACCACAGAGGCCTCTCTGGGCAACATAAAATGCAACCTCTTCAAGGGTCAGGAATGGCAAATTAGTACCTTCCCCATTATGCGGTAGCCTTTAAACTAACAGAGTCACCAACATAAATGTTCTGCAGGCATCATGCATTACTGGGGTCTCCAATCCCCCAAAGACTTCTATATACTTGGTGTAAACTTTATACAGCTCATTCTGTTACAAGACAGACATTGAGGCAAGGCAGAAATGTGTGAAGAATCAGGGCCATTAACATCTAGTTGTTTGGCCTCTGCTGGATAAATCGTTTTGTTTACATATTGCTAGCCACTGTATGTCCCAATTATTTCCAATATTTGAAACTACCCCTAAAACGTCTGTTTTGTTCACCTCTGACATGCCAAGAGGCAAGCTTCCATAGGAAGGCAAATCTCTGCACAGTCTTTTAAAATGTATTTTGCTTTTGGAAGTAAGCCAACACACTCATTTCTTACTGAAAATGAACTAATGGTAGCAGGTAACATTGCAAAACAGCTATATGCATTTACCAGTCAGACAAGACACAGCTACAAGTTTACATAGGTTTGGAAAAAGCTACTCTTTTACCTACCAGTAGTTACCCCAGGCAAGCAGGATTTAACTTGGCTACAATGAAACTGCAGATTTGGGGAAATAAGTGGAATATCAAAAAATCTCATTTGGGCTCTTCAATTTATTATTCAAGAGACAAATTTTCTCTTTTAAGGGTGCTGGATAGATGAGCACTTCTCTGGCTGTAATTGCAGTACACAGACCCTCTAGGCCCCTGAAGTTAGGGATGCTTTGTAATGAGGAGCGTTAACACTTACATCACATTGCTTGATGTACACAAAATGTACACGTGCAGCACAGATGCAGCAAGTTTTCTGCAGCAACAGGCCACGTGCTACATTGGTGTTACGGCATATTTGAAATGTCACTAGACACTTAAGTCCTTTTCAAGATGTATCTGAAGTGCCAACTTTCACTTGCTTCAAAAAATAATTTTACCCATTTTGTAACACCCTGTGGCAAAGTGCAGTGAAACTGATCTGGTCAAGTGATCTGAAGTACGTCCAGGTGTTCAGCTGTACCGGGTCTGAATCTGACACTGGCCAGAAGCAAGGAGAGAGATGGGGGCTAAGAGTCAAAGGACTGGAACGAGGGTGCAATGCTGTCTCAGATTAAGAGATCAGTGGGGCCAGCAACCATCAGAATATCTGTTTCAAAACTGCACCCTGTACAGTATTATCAAAAGATTTTTACTTTGATCATTTTGTGGGAGATACACAAGAAAGGCATGTAGCAATTTGTTTTGTTCAGTGACTAAAAAATTACCTTATCCTCATGTTGAAAGAAACAGTCTTACATTCTGAAAAGCTTATGAAACAGAACAGAGAATGCTTTGAGTTAGATTTTTCCATGATCAAAAGGCTTAAAGAGTGTTAAGCTATTCTTGTATGTATTGCAATGATTGATTTTGTCACCTAGGAGACACAGCAGTTCGAGAGGTTTTTGAAGAGACTGGCATCAAGTCAGAGTTCAAGTCCATCTTAAGCGTGAGACAGCAACACAAACACCCCGGAGCCTTCGGGAAGTCAGATATGTACATCGTCTGTCGCCTGGAGCCCTCCTCCTTCGACATCAACTTCTGCCAGCAGGAGTGCCTGAGGTGTGAGTGGATGGCCCTCGATGAGCTTGTGAGGACAAGACAGGCTACTCCCATCACCAGCAACGTAGCCAAACTCTTACTTTATGGATACCGGGAAGGGTTTGATAAGATTGATATAACCATGAGAGAGTTTCCAGCTGTCTACCCAGGCCTGTTCTACAAACTATACCACAGAGAGCTGCCCGAGTCCTATAGAAACATTACATGATAGCAATACATTTCACATTTCAGTATATTAATAATTTAGAATTATTACTGTAGTGTTATATAGACCATATTAAAATTATCCATGGACTTATTTTTAGGTTATTATTAGAAAGTAATTATTTATTCTCTAATAATCTATAAATTATTTTAAAAAGTAAATACTGCTATAAGTGTGCATCAGATTATGTTTTCCTTTACTCTGTAAAGCAAACATAAGGTAAATAAAATAGCTCTATGTAGGTATCTAGCAGAAAACAGAAGTGTTACTGATCCTGAAAATACATTTTCCAAGTAATTTTACCTCCACACACACTGGCACAATAGGTTTAAAGAGCAATGAAAGACAGTAGGAAACATTCATGTTTTAATCTGGTATCTTCAAAAGTAGTGAATATCAGCAAAGAATTGCTTATATTTTTGCTACTTCAGAAAGGAGTAGGAAACTTGACCTCTTTAGTGTAGTGTGGCATACGTGCTTGGAATCCACCATGGAAATCAGCTTTTAGCAGACATGGGAAGAAAAAGGATAGCTTTCTGTCCAGGTCCAGTTTTTGGTCCAGGTTTGTACTGTCCAGTTCTTTTCAGTGCCACATACCAATCAGAGTATTTCCGTGATCGGTAAGTGTTATAATTATTAGATTCTAAACGCTCAAAAAAGAAACATTCTTCTGTTGCACATTTCTGAAAGGGAAAAAGAAAAGGATTATTGATATTCTATCTCAAATCAATTCTTCAGATTCATGGGACTAACTTAGCGAGGGTGTCAGCAGTACATTTCGTTTTAAGAAATTCACATTAAATATTTCATGTTTGAAGAAAGATGCAGTTATTGTGAAAATATTGTTAAAAACACAAGAAGAATAATTTTAAACTATGGTTCATTTATTATCTTTAACGCAGACCAAGCAGATTCTAGTTTGTTTTCGTTATGTAATTCTTCGTTCAAACAATTAAATGGAGAGCTCTGTCCCTTGGCACTTACTCACTTCCAAGCTCAGTGGTTTTGCCATCTCATCCTAGGTTATACTTTAACCAAAAAAAAAAGCAGGATGTAAGAGAAAAGGCAGTATCTTCCTTGCCTTCCTCAAACCAGCTTTTTTATCAGTTAGATAAATAGCATGGCATAGAGTTTCAGCCTTTGCCTATTCTTTTCTAATTTTGAGGTTTAACTTCCCTAAAGCTAATTCAAGTCTGTATTCATAGAGCTCTGAAACAGTAGCAAGGCTACATATGTTCAAGATTTTTTAAAATTCAAAACTTCTAAAAGAGTTTTAAGAAAAGATCAGGCCTGGCAAAGGGGTCTATTACACACAGAGACCAGGCATGCTCTACTAGTGTTTAGAAATACATCTATGGAATCATTCTGCTTCTGGAAGTAAAGCCTTCAAAACCAACTCTACCTACATGGAATTAACACATAGGTTCACACCTACAAATAAAAAGGTCATTCTTTACACGACAGGTAAAAGTTGAGCTGTGGAGCTCCTTATCATAGGAAGGTTTGGGTTCCCCCAGCTTACATAGACTTAAGTCACTTACAGACAAGTTGATGGAAAAGAAATTAACTGACATTTAATGTATAGGTAAAAGCCATTCTTGGCTGAGAAGGCCCCAGAGTTGAGGTTGGTTGGGGGTTGGCAGACCAGTACTATTTACAATACTCTGTACATCTTTTCTTCTATGCTGCATTTGACCACCATCAAATAGAAGATACTCCACTTTTTATGCAGCCCTTAAAAGGTAAGCCTGCTGTTAACAAATACCAGGTGATGTACTTTCTTCTGCACGTGGCAGAAACCACTGCTCCCTCAAGGTGGCCATACTGAAGAGAAAGAGTCTTCATTTTCAAATGATCCCGTTCCCATCAGTGAGATCATGTCAGGTGGACATGATCTATTGCAAGACTTCAACCCACAAATTTCCTTGGATTGTTGTTATTGCCTTGGGGACTCAGAACCCAATTAATTTAACTAGGATTAGTATTTATAGCTGTTCATAGTCAACTGGAAACAGGAAAGTTAATTCACATCCTGAAATTCACCACATGGTTCCTTGTATCAAAAGTGTAAGAGGACATACAAACATCTGCAAGTAAGGTCTCATTCTGTAGGAAGATCACTGTTGGTGGCTAACTGCATTCATCCCAAGGCATATTCACAAAGGCAGAAGCCCTGTCTCTCATAGTGGTCACAGTGCAAACCTGCCTGTAGAACCTGCGCTTTAAGCAAGAAAAAGTCTTTTCTCAAATACAAAGATGGCAGAAGTTCAGCACCGCAGGAACTTACAGGGGGGAGGGGCACTTTCTTTGCATACACACCATCTATCAGTCCATCAATTCAGTCACACCCATTTACCCAGAAAATTTTTGGGAATGCCATAGGAGAAGAAACGCTAGCCATGAGAAAGAATGCATGTAAAATCTTGGAGAGGAGACAGGGAACATGAAGCAGTTCCCCAAGTGATGAAGCTACTCTTTGTTACAATCTTCTCTTAGTATTTATGAATACCTAAAGGGAGCTTGGAACAACTAAGACTTCATACAGTACGCATGAAAACATACAAGTGAAGAGTAACTCCTCATATATGCCAAGTTTCTGTAGCTACAAGCAATTAAACCATTCAAATGCAGTCTGGAATCAAGTAATCTTTCTCCAAACATATGTTCTCCAAATAGTTTTTTCCTCCACTTCAACCCATTTTCAGATAGGAATTTTAGTTTCTAAGGAAAAGAACTTCCTGTAAGAGAAAAATCCACATACAATTTCTCATTTCTTTAACCCACTAATATTTTTACATTTCAAATAGCAGAAATCAAATTAACAATCTTCACATGATTTGTATTTTAAAGAATCTTTCTCAAGATAAATCATATTTTAATGCCTTTTGTTCTGGCAATGTGAAAACAGATGCATTAATCATCTCAAGCCACAGATCCAAGCCTGAAATAGATTACAGTAGCCTTAAGAGGGCACAGAAACTGTATGAAGAAAAGCAGCATTTAAGAACAAAAACTTTAAGCAGAGTTTAGACAAGTTCAGTACGATTGCCCAAGCTGGAAATTCTGGCAGAGACCATCGAAGCTGGCTCACACCTCGTTTTCGCCTCCTACCCGAAGCGGTGGCACTCCTGGAAGTGCTGAGGCATGCAGGCGCCACGGGCGCTGGGGAGACACTGGGCAGAGCACAGCCTCCGAATGCCACAGCACCCCATTTCTCTAGGCACCCTTCCCTTGGCAGTCCCCGCTGGGTGCAGCTGTGGAGACAGGAAGGTAGATCAGCTGCCTAACACCAGTGGGAACCAAGTCTTTGCAACCTCCACTAGGAAGGAAATGGCTTCCAGTGTGCCCGTGGTGAATTTAAGTGGCCACTACAAGACCCCATGTACAGATAAAAGGCAAATTCGCACAACCCCTTCTCCTATGCACTAAATCCACAAAGTAAACACAATCACAACTCAAAGAAATGTATTGTCTTTACTAGCCTTCCTCACATCTCTCAGGTTTAAAAACTAAAATAGATTAAACTCTTCCAACAGATTTTCAAGCAATTTATGGGGGTTACAAAAAATAATAAAAAAAAAAGGTGAGAAAAGAAAAAGATAGATAAAAGAAAGAAAAGTAGGTAGGGGGTTTTTACACTCAGAAAAGTATTTTGAAAGGTCCACGCAATTCGCTCTGGACACTCAAGTCCTTAATTCTCCACAAACCATACGTGATACCAGGGCTTTCCAATAGTATGTTGTCAATGTAAATATTTTGACATAAAAGTGAACATCTTGGTGACAAATGATAGTTCAGGCTTCACAAACTATGTATTCCTTAACATGTGCCAAAGGCGACATTGCGGAAGCTGGACAGCTGTCCAGCAGGAGTGGGATGCCAGCCACTGCGTTGTGAACCTCAGCCCCTAGCAAAACTCTGGATATCAATGGGGCTGTTAAATACGCTTTGGTCTAGGCTTCATTCAAAGAGGTGATCTGGCAGCAAAAGCGTTCACAGCACATCATGAAATACCTGAACTCCACAGCCCTTCGTGAAAAGGATAAGGAAAGTGAAAATACTTTGGCCACTCGGCGCCTGCCCTACCACCAGTCAGTATTTTGTCTGCTGCCAAGCAAGACCTCCATCCAGAAGAAGTCTGAGCAACTAAATAAAGCACTGAGTGCAGGAGTTTTTAAGGCTGGCAACGTTGGTGGTAGCCGTGCCTGTACTATGGTCTGCTGTGTACCATGCTTACAGTAGCCAAACCACAACGACCGCCAGGTGATTCACCCAGGGCAGATTAATTGACAAAAAGAGGCAGCAACTTCCTGCAACAAAGTTCTTTCTCCCCTATTTACACGGTCAAACACCACCTACTGATTGATTTTTCAGTGCAAGCTGCATCTGCCTTAATATCGTTATTAGGCCAATTAACTAGTTTTGACATTTTGGACTCAGATTAGGAATTTAAATTCCGCAAGTTTGTTCATTCTCAAAACTGAAACCAGAGGGTTAACCTGTAACTACCACAGTGGATGCCATATGACCTGAGAATGATGGTGATCATATTTCGCCTTCTCTACCTATGAAAAGGCCAGGAAATTAAGGTTATTCTCACAAATATTCTTGTATCATAATTTTAATCCATAACATCAAAAGAGAAGAATTTCTCTTCAAGTCAAGCCATTCAGTCTGGCAATACCTGTCTGGTCATAGCAAAACCACATAATGACAGACAGAATGAACAAGTCACATCTTTAAATGATAAATTATTTCTCATGAAATATAAAAGCACGATTCTTCCTTCCATGGTAAATTCTGAGAAATTTCTTCATGAAGTGAAATAAAACAAAAAAAGTTTAATTCCATAAAGTGAAGATATTCCATTATTATAGTTAAATGAAACTGGAAAGTCAAAACTAACTGTAATACCCATGTCACAAGTAAAATGTTTCAATTCCTCTATTAAAAATGTGATGAAATAGATACATTTATGCACTTTTTTTTTTTTTTTTTTTTAGTTAAAACAGCATTTTCCAAGGGGAGGTTCTGTCTAGCTGCATTACCAACCAGCCATTTCCTTCAGCAGCTGAACTGGTGAAGATTACCTCTTCCCCACAACTGAGTGTTAGTAAACAGAGCGTGAAACTTGCTAAATTAAAAGCCGTATCATCCAGCTTTCAACACCACATGATCTACTGCACCACCACACAAATCACCAATGTAAGCAGGGATATGCAGGCTGCCCAATAAACCATTTTGCAAAACCCAACTGGAACCAACTACAAAGACACATCTCGACAAAGTTTAATTACAAACACATCCAACTAGGTGAAAAACAGGACTGAGTAATAATTAGCAGAAGTATTTTTGAAGATGCTGATGTATTTCTAAAACAAGGACACTACGGAAATTGAATCTTGACACTGAAAAGTAATAAAAAAGAATAAACAAAACAGATGTTATAAAGAACAGAATAGCACTTGAGTCATTAGTGGATTAGAGAACTGAATAGGTGCTTAGAAATCAAAATTCCATAATGTTTTAGAAGAAAAGGTTTCAGCAGATACGAATTCACGTGCACTGACAAGATCATTTCACCACAAGGATTTCCAGCATATGCTCAATGCTCCCAGTGAAACACAACACAGCTCAAACTGAAGAAGAAATGCTGGCAATCGGGAACAGTTTCATGAATATGTTTATAGGCAGAAAACATTAGAAGCACAACTGGCCACAAACTGCTGGAAGTCACAGTACAGAAATCCTCATGGAAAAAAAAACATTGCCTGAGCTGCAGAAAACAATCGTGAGATTGCAGAAGTATTCATTAGGCTGGTTGGAGAACAAAGTCTTAAAGAGTTTTCACCTATGAATAGCAAGAATGAAGAGCTGTAGGAAGTAGTGTTTGCAGTAAACACGATTCAAGTAATACCCAGTTCCAGGAACAAAGCAAAACATTTTATAAGCTCAAGCAAGAAGCACAAACTGACACAACTTTACCAGATTTTAAGAAAGTAATTCCGAGTGAATGGCAGGTACTTTCTAAGCACATTGCCTTAAAAGAACTAAGCAAATAAAATTGCTGCATATAGCTGCACGGGAAGCACGTTCTATAACCAAAACCCACCATGCAACAGTTGGTTGGAAATCCCTAAATAAAATAAACACACCCAAGTGCTTATAATTTTACAAATGGTGCTAAATACCCTATTTTGACCATTCACTGTCGCTCAGGGTAAGGAGAGCAATTTGAACGGGAAGCCGCACCAGCACCACAGGAAATTCCCAATTATCCTTAATTCAAGAATAGCACAGTGGACTACTCACATTTTCTTCAACTGAGCTGTCACACAATATCTGAGTAAATAACGCTGTAACTTGAAACAGGTTCTTTAACTGTACTCACAGGCGTAAACAAAATGGGCTTCCCGGAGCCAGAGACACGCAGTGCCGAGGAGCACACCAGGGATCCCTGCTCATGTAAAACTGCTGAAGGGGTTTGTTTGCCTTCGGATTAACTTCACTTAGGCAGAGGCAGAACTGAGGGGAGCAGCATTAACTTCTGCAGCCCTTGGCACAGATCTTTCATTAGCTGCAGTTCAGCTGGGGTTAGAAATGCACTTTATTATTAACACCTGTTACTTTTAGGGACTTGCAGAGAAACTGAATGGGGCTGTGTTCAAGATACTAAAGGATCAGAGATTATTTCAAACTGAAATTGAAGTAGGATGCCCGATGGTGGTACTTCACAAGTGCTGGAAGTTTGCACTGAAGGTTAAAAATGCAGATGAGAGATTTACAGTGTCTACATCTCATAAGCAAAATTAATTTAACTGCAGCTCTTAAAGCAAAATGTATAATCTAGCTCTTAGGAGACCTTACTAACTTTCAGAGTCTGCTAAACATACTGGCTTTAAAACACAGTTAAAAATTAAGCTCATACCAATAAAATGCATGAAGTTTAAGACTAGTCTCATTAGAGACTAGTTTAATTTACCTGCATTTAATAACTTATTATATCATCACATTTTCAAAAATATTATTCTTGACAGTTTTCTAGTTTGAAAGTACACATGACCAAAAAACCTTGAGTCTCTACAAAGTAGAGAATGAGAAAACAATATATACAGATTACTATGAAAGCCATAAAAGAAATTTAAAAAAAAATTGGCTTTACTTACTACTTCAAAATGGTCTTTAATATCACTTTATGTGAAAGTGAAAGAGGAAAAAATTACTCATGGGTGGTAAAAAAGGGAGACACTTTATTCTTCATTTGTTCTTATAATTTCCTTCTATACATGACCACTATGATTTTTCTCTCCCACACAGGCCATTCCAGTTAGATTTTGCAAGATATACCATCTCTTCCTAGTTCATAGTTCAATTAATTGAAAAAAGTTGTACAAAGCTAATTTCTCCCTGATAAATCACACACAAAGAAGCTGAGTAAATTCTGCTGGAGAAGAGGTTACTCAAAACAGAGTGAGGAGAGGACCAACCAATACAGATAGACACACACAGAGATAAACATTTAAAAAAAAAAAAAAAAAAAAGCTACTTACCAATGCCAGCAATCTGCCATCCTCCTTCATAGCCAGAAAGCGATTTGCACTTACACCTTTGATTGACACCACTCCTCTTTCTTCTGCTTGAAGTTGCAGTTTAACTGTGAACAAAAAAATGTAAATTTTGAAAGCCATCATATTTCAGCCCTTGACAGTGACACCTACTGCTTCAAACCTAAAACCAAAGACAGTATGAGCTTCACCTTCCAGTGAAGATAGTAAACTTTCAACCTCTAGCTTTCTGATCCCGTTTTTCATCATAGAAAATGCTTATTACAAATTGAAGGGCTATTAAATTGCAACGATAAGCATGAGTTCTTCTATACACACACACAAAAGCAACACAAAACACCATAAAATTCCTTGAAGGACCACTTATGGCATGGTCAACTACTCATAAAAAAGGGAAAGTTTTCATGGCAATGTTCTTACGGAGATATTTCTAAGTGTTCATAGAACAGCATCGTACACTGAATGCCTGCAGCTCCATGCAGCTGGATTGTCAGTGAGACATGATTAAAGACCATTCAGGACCATATCACTCCTTAAATGTTATAGCAGTTCCCAACAGAAAAGTATCAATTAGTTTCTATCATATATCCAACAAGTGGTTAGAATAAACAAACAGAAAGAACTGCAAACATAGATGAGGACAGCAAAGACACAAGAAATGGTGTTATAAAAATTAGAAACATGAAAAGCGGGATTATTTGAATCAATTATTTTTTAAAAAATAAGGGGTTTTTTTAAATCTGTAAGGTCACAACACATAGCTTTTAGCTACTGCCTGTGAATTAACACAAAGTCTAAACTGATTTTTCTAGCCACAAATCACATCCAGCACTTCAGATTAACATACAAATGTTTTCCCCTTTACCTAAAGCTTGTTTCAGGCTATAAATATACAAAGCAAAAGTGGCCCCCACCTAAATCCAGAAGTGCTATTTGCTTTTTTTCTTATTATTTCTTCCCCAATTGCATTCCCAACAAGAAATGAATCAAGCTTTTAAGTGGTTAAAACAGCAGAGCCAGGACTTGTGCTGCGTTTCAGCCTAACCTGTTTAACAGTAGCATCTGTGACACTGTACCTCAAAGTTCAGGTCTTTCAACCATTAGCTAAACAGGATGGGGAATACTACAGTACAAGAAACTACACCAATTACCATAGAAAAGTCCACCAGACACATTTACATGACTTGAGTATTCGTGGCTCAGAAGAAATCTAAACACTCTGAAGAACTGCCACTTTGCTGGAGAAGAAGAGGAATAAAAGGAAGTACATGTTGTCCTAAACCTCACAGAAGATCCTGCTCTATTCCAACCATTTTTAGAACAGCTCCCTCTGAAAACCTAACTTTAATTATTTAAAACATCACTTAAAAAAAAAAAGGGGGGGAAAAGGTCAATACAGCAACTCATATGAGCTTTTTGGACTGCTTGCTATTGACATGTGGTCCTTCCTCCTCCCCTTCACAGAAAATATATGCCTATTCCCTGCAGCTCCATCCCATTGAGCCAGTTTGCACAGGCAGTACAATTCAATCTGATTTCCACTAAAAACAAACACAACCATTTCAGTAACAACAGAACACAAGAGACTGAATCTCCCCAAATCCCTAGGTTTTCCTCAATTCCGGATGGCCATTATTTCCAGTGAAACCTGCGTCTGCAAACCCTCTCACTTAAAAAAGAGCAATTAGAAGTGAACTTTAGTTCCACTAAACGGGGAATTTTAAGAGCAACTATACTTCCAAAACAGGAAGCGAGATCATTGCAACACAAGCATCAAAAATGAGGAAGAGATGAGAAACAGCTTCTCACCTTCTTGGGATGTATAAAGACAAAGACAACTTTCGCCAAAGAACTGCAGTAGCTGAAGAGGGAACAAGCAGGATGTCGCAAGCTGGTACTGGTTATGTGTCCATCAGGTATCCGAACGAAGGATATGACTCATCTGGTGCAAGACTATCGACGTTTCCAAAAATGAACCAGACTTGAACTTCTCCTTCCTTCTGCTTGCATCCCAGAAATTATTTTGGGAATTAGTTAAAAACATACTACACAGAGATCTGACCATGATAAAAGCCCAGCTAGAGGAACCAACAGCTGTGCTCCGTTCACTCAAAAGTACTCAGCCAGGGACTTGCATCAGTTTGTGTTTGCCAGTTTCTTTCTTTGAAGGGTTGGTGACAAACATACCTGGTTCTGTACAGTAAGACTGGTGTTACAGCTTAGTGGGCAAAGTCTGATGGGCAATACTGGTATGCATCATCTCAGACATGAGTTTCATTCACCTACCTGCTTTTGTGGAGTATACAGTTTGTTTCTATTTAATGATGCAGTTTTAAAAATCTTGACCCTTTAAGGTACCAAAATAAGCTTGAAGTGACTGTACATTTTGGAGCAGGAGCATCTCTTCAGATTCAGAGGGAGGTTGCTGCTTATTTAGCTTTTTGTTGTGGGAGAAAAAGAGATTTTTGCAATGCAAATGAAAACCTTCTCGGTTTACTTCTGTTGCTCCTAAACACAAGACTGAGGAAACTCCAACAATAAGAATACCAGGAACATGAAACCTTTATGATAATTGCTGCAAACCAGTTTTTAAGCATTAAAATTATATAATCTGATTTTTTTCCTAGATACGAAAAAACAACAGGAAGAGTTGCTCGTAAATCCACTTTGTATATACAACTGAAGCCACATTAATATAAATGCTGCACTCTAAAGAAGGTGAAATGGTTTCTTATGAATTATGTGTCTGTTGCCATTTTGCACAAAGGAAAAAAAAAAAAAAAGACGAACCCTCTCATAATTCACTAACAACTCCAGACTTCCAAAGAATACAAAAACCTCTGTCATCATATGAAGTTAGGTGAAATGTTTAATTTCATCCCAGAATCAAGTATCCAAAATACAGTCCTTCCAATTTATTAGGCCAAAATCAGACTTGTGAATAGCTTCAAAAACCTTCAGTGCAACTCCTTGCCCTCTGGGGAAGCAAGAATGTGGAGAAGTGCTCTGCGCAGGGACTTGGGGAAGCGGACTTTTGAGATGTGCCCAAGAATAGTGCTTTCACCACACACTTAACAAGAAACAGCTGTGTGAAATATCTAAAAAGTAATATTAATTACTGCAGTACAGACTTACTATGCTTCGTGATTTTCTCTTGACAAAAAAGGCACACCAACTCCTACAGCATCATACCAGGCCAGAAGTTCAGATTCTGTAAAAACAAACTTTTAGTGAAGGTTTTTAAGGCCTGTAGAAATATTTGTGTAGTTTGGAGAAGCTGTGAAAAGTGTTACTCTTTAAAAAGGAAAAAAAAAAAAAAAAATTCCTGCAGAGTTTTAAAAGTGCTGCAATACTGAAAGCCCCAAAAGCAAAATCGGCTTCCCTGGATTTTCCTCCCCAACTCAAAAAACACATGAATAAACAAAGCCAGAATAGTACTCTAAGTTTTTCAGGTTTCAGCGTTATTTTATGGCTTTATTAATGCAGGGTAAGTATACAATTCAGCCTTACTAATCAAACACATTTTGACTGTGCAGTCATCACCAGAAGCAACAATTTTAGGTTTAGCTCAATGCCACTTGATATGATCAGTCATAAGAGACATCTAACACTTGACACGATGATCCACATCTTTTGCAGCCTTTAGGTCACCAACAGCAATAGTTCAGACACAGGCCATCATTTCAGACCTGCTTGTAAATGCTTGTCTTCAGCATACTTGAACCTCAAAACCAGATCCATGAAAGTAAACTAATTAAGAAGTCTGTAATCCAAAAAAGTAGCAGAGATTGTTGTGAAATAGCTAATGAACAAACTGAGGGCCAAAAAGGCACATTTTCCCAGTTATTCTGGCAGTCCTTTGGGAGGGGCCCCTCCAGCACGGCAGTAAGTTATTGCACTGTGCACATTCTTAGCATGCTCTTTCATTTGTGATGAAGGCCAAGTGCAAGGCTATGGTCGATGCCTGCTGGTTTTGTGACAACAGAGAACTCAGCACACTGAGCAAGCATTCTGAGGACTGAGGCTAAGTCACCACAAAGTTATGAAATGAAAAAATGTCCTATCCCAGTTATAACCTATGAAACCTTTATGCACTAACAACTAAAAAGGGCTCAGTAAATTTACTACTACTATTAAGACTTTCTTTTGTATCTGTTCATAATTAGTTGACGTATGATCTTCCTTTTTTCTGCCAAGTAAGAAGAAATTAAATGCAAGACATAGGAATTTAATTTCATGTCAGTGAAGAAACTTCAAGGAAGAAGGATAAAGCTGTATCTGTGGGAAGATATAAGAAGGCTTAGAAAACATGAACAGAATAAAGTTAAGGCACTGAACTATCATTTCAGAGATGGATTTAAACCTTCCTCTGACATACAGACTTCTACTACTGTAAGGAAGAATTATAAAAGTATCCTAAATAAAACTCGTTTGAGCCACTTCCGTGTTCCTGTATTCAGCACAATCACAAATCTGTTACCTGAACAAATAAATCACTTAACAAATTGCAATTTATGGGTTTACCAACACAGTCCATAATACTATGGCAAAGATTTTCCCAGAAGAAAAGATACCAAGCCCAGAAGCAGCCACCATTACAGCCCTCAGACAAACAACCTTCAGTTAGAAGTGCAAAACCGTATGTGGTATCGTAAGATGGAAAGAGAACAAGCCACATAAAGACAAAATTCTCAAACTGAAATTACATTAGTCTGCAGGAAAGGTGGCATTAAACAAAATTTTAATCAGAAGGTGATTTTTGTAAAAGCTACCTGGCTCAAAATCAAGAGATGCCTATAAACGTTCCAATTATAGGAAAAGATACACAATATCTGACAGTACACGATGAGCAAATCTCTCCTTGCTCACCCTGCCCATGACATCAGGAGATCCCATCACACTTCTCCTCGGCACCACGTTTTCCAATTCCTCTGTGCCATAATAAATACGGGAGTAAAGTCCCACTAGCTGTGCCATGGCCCCTCCTCAGTTAACCCACCCACACCCAGCAGCAGCACCACCACCCCTCAGGTAAGATCAGGAAACTTAAGTGTTCAGCACAGGAAAACATGCAAATGTACAAATCACAGATTTTTAATTATGGGTCCAGAAATATTATTTTTTCAGTCATTCTGTTATGATAATGAGTCTTTCCTCAAACTTTGCAAAAGGATTCCCATACCAAAAAAAAATAAAAATAATCACACGCTGTTTGTTATCCTCTTGAACCGCAAAATGCTTTCCACAGGCAGACTGCGTCCAAATCCTGTCTCCAGCTGCTGAAAGTGGTGCACACCATTTCCAGAACATGGGAATTCTGCACCTTTCAGCAGCCAAGCTGAGAGAGCTCACCGAGACCCAGCTCTTCCTTCAGGATCCGTGGCAACCTCTGCAACTCAACACAACAGTCACAACAGAAAACATCTACAGTTTGTCAATGGTTTTTCACAGCAAGGTCAGTGAACCATAGCTGAGGCAAGATAAAGGGAAAACTAGATCCTGTGAAAATTCTGACCATGTTCATTTTTGACAGGCCATGCAAAAGGAGTCCTAACTCAGCACCCATTTGTCTAACATTGTTAGAGCTATCATTAAAGACTCGGTTTTACATATATGTATACACTCATATATAGCCTTCTAAAGCTGTAAGGGTAACCTAATAGAATTTCCAGATTTTGTTTTACAGTCATATGTCTTGTTTATAACACCATCTACGTCTCTATATGGCAGATTATCCAAACTGCTACATTTACCTAAGGAGATGATCATGAACTAGGAAAACACATCACTTTGCAAGTAGCTCGAGTGAGCCTACTATGCCTTCCAGCAGCATGAAAAAGGATGGGGGGGAAACACACTTTTTTTTCCTCACAATACAGACAGGCTGTGTTAAGAATATGTATTCATTGATGTTTCGGCTGAAGAACAATACAAGCTACAGCCTAACCTGAATTTCCACTGAAACCAGTACAACTTGTGGCATTAAAGGTTGTTGAACCACAGTGCAACATGCACCAGAACACCTGGCAGAGAGTTTTCCCCATCTCCCACTACACACATCCCCTCCCGGACAAATAGAGTTGTCCTGTATATACACACAAATGCCCATACAACATGAACCTGGGGGTTTTGCCAGCTTCATTCCCCTTAATGCACAAGATTCGCAGGTGCACTCATTCCAACAGTGACCCTCAACAGAGGGATTCTTACCGGCATGTGAAAGGCAGAATGATTAAACAGTCATTTCCCTTTTTGTGGTAAGACAATTTACAGAAGATCAACCGTCTTCAGGACCTGATGTATGTATTAAACAGTTTCCACAGTTTTGGGTTTGATTTTTTTTTAGATCAGGTCCTGATCCTGTGACACGTTAAGCACCAACAAAACACTGACTGCACTGATGTGTTCCTCCCCTGCAGCCAGCACAGCTCTGCAGGCACAGAATTCTGCATGCATTCGTGTCATCAGTGGATTGCGGATGTAAAATCATAGTTACACATACATGACTATCCCTTTTTCACAGCGTCAGGACAGGTCTAGAAGTTAAGCTAGACAGCATATTTGAGAGAGAGTTACAAACAGGCTTTTATTTCATGATTTGGAGAGAATTTTCTAAGAATATGGAAGTTGAAAAGTGGTATTAAATAGCATTGTGGTTGGCAAGATTTCAGATTTCTGTTATGAACTGGATCTTCTCCATCTTTTCTTAAGGAGCTTAAAAAAGTATTTTCAATTCAGTTTTGCATACACCAGTGCAGAAAACAATTTTATGGACAAGTAGCACAACACAGACAGAAAACATGCTAGCAAATGCAGAGCATACAGAAAACACATTTTCCAAAAGTTCTTTTATTGCCCTGAGTTCTAGAACTGAAAAATTACATGCACAATGAAAACTCTAAGGTC